TAATTTATTATCCATTTCAACTATATATTACTACTATATGTATACTTATATTTATTCTTAATAGACGCATTGTAAATTTTCTAGTTCTTTTATTTGCTTAGTATACTTAACTTCTACAATAGCGGACGTTCTCTAAAAAAAAATACCTATAAACGTCACAAGACGTTTGCCATTAAACCATCTTTTTCACTTACAAATTTTGGATCCACTACAGGTTGTCCACAAAGATTTTATGTCAATTGCAAATACTTACTTATTACAAGTGCATTTCCAAATATAGTTCACAAAAAAAATCTTCAGAAACTTGACGACGAATTTCAACCGACTAAATATGATAAAATTGTGAGCGACTAAGCACAGTTTTAAGTGTTGATAAATTTTGGGAAGCAATTGGAATGCGTGACGCAAATGGAGGTCAAAAATATTTTGACATCGCAAATTTTGCAAAAGCAGTTTTAGGTTTACCCATGTGAAACGCACCATGCATGTGAAATGATATTCTCACAAGTTTACCTGACTAAAACTAAGTTACGGCACAGATTACTATATAAACATGTATCCTCCGTCGTTGCATTACATTAAAAGCAGGTATTAAAGAACATGTGGACTGTGTCTCCTTTAAACCATCGAAAGAAATGATCAAGAAGGTGAATTTAAAATATGATGAAACGGACGAAAAATATGAACTAAATGTAAGAGTGGTGCTGCCAATGCTGCGATTGTTGATGGTGCCTCCTGCCGTCACCACCACCTTAAGAGCATATAATCAAGTCTTACTCGATGTTTGTTCAAGAATTTCCGTTGCTGACAACGCTAAAACTCGCACGTCATATTGGTACACTTGGTATTGATGGACTGTACAGTAAACATCGTTGGATTATGTGATGCCAGTCACAATGGCTATGGATGTGTTGTTTACTTGCATGTTACAGACACAGACTGTATTGTGTGAAGCGACTGTGCTCAAAATCAAAGGTTTTTCTCGCTAAAATAACTACGCTTGCTCGATTAGAGCCATGTGTCGTCCTTTTAATGTCCAAGGTAATTAAAACTGTAAAGGACACACTTAATTCGCATTGCAATCGCAGGAATTTGTGCGTTCTCGGACTCAACAATTGCTCTTTCGTAGATTAAAAACGTCTCCTTTTTCACATTGAGCAACCGTGTCGCGCAATGTCAAAAAGTTTTCACCGCAGAATTTTAACACGTTGCCGGTGTTGGCAACCCTAGTTATTATTTATCACGCATTATGTTGCCGTCACAACTAATATCGCATATATAATTTATTATATAATATATTTTTATAATATAATTTATGGTGGAATGGACCTTCATGCTTACAAAGCCCGCCAACTGAACAGCCCATCCAAAGCTTCAATTCGACGGAAGTTGATAGGTTGCTTGAATTTAAAACTAATACCTTAACTGCAGTTCTTCAAGCTGAGCAGCCAATATTATATAAGTTAGCTCAACGTATATCTTCTTGGAATAAGTTGCTCCGCACAATCGTTTATGTGATACTATTCATACGGAAATAAAACCCTACTGAAATAATTAAAAGTATCGGCATTGCTGAAACCGCTTTATTAGCCGCCATACAGGATGTTTACTTTAGTGAAGCAATCGCTCGCATTAAAAATAATCTTTTTCCGTCGCGTAAACTTTTGAAACTGTCAGTTTTCTGTGACGTCAACATATTTTACGTGTTAGCAATCGCCTTTCAAACACAGATTTGCCATTTGAAGCAAAATATCCCGCGCTGCTTCCAAAATGTGACCATATAAGTGACCACGAATTAAAACAAAAGAAGTCGGCCTAGCTCTTCCAGTCTGGAGTAGGACCTACAAACTAAGAAGAAGAGGGTCCAATCAAAACTAATCCCTTGTAACACATTTTTTTTGTAGATCTCGTAAATACAAAACTAAAACAAAATTTATCTTTGGTTTTTTCACCATTCTTGTACAAAATGTCACTTTGACGTTATAGTTTAAAAATATTTAGTAAATTAGTTGAAACTCTTTAGTGTTGGTGTAATCTATTATTAAAACCATTCACATTTTTATTACTTGTTGGTGAACGATTTCTCTATAAAATCAATACCGTGAATGGGTACCCTTTTGTTTGACATATTCTTGAAAACACCAACACTGGTCAAATTTTCTTGCATGGTAACGCAGAATAATAGTGGTGCGGACCAACCAACTCGATTTTACTTCTGTAGTCGAGTCTTTTCTTTAATATTTTCATGTCAAACACTGCCAATTAGCTTGCCAAGTATGTATGTATGGACTGCCCGGGTGTGATTATGTGTATAGCCAAAGCAGCAGTAACTACCTATTCCAAAAAAACTTGTCTTCATAAATATACAAATCTTATTAAACCATGTTTGTTACATAATCTGCCAGGCTATGAAACGAACGTGATGGAAAAAAGCCGAAGCCTCCTCACAAAGTATGGTATTCCAGACTAATGAATTTAGTAAAATAACACCACTGTGCAAAAGAATATACAAGGAATTTAAGAAAGATACCATCAAATAAAAGGCACAGTGTCTTAAAATACTGCCAGGAGATTTCTTTTGAGAAATTGACCCAACAGATGAATCAATGTGCAAAAAAATTTTTAAAGTCGTTTGTGTACTAGAAAGAACGCCAGACCTTTTATACCACTGAAGAGAAAATTATAGCCCTTTCAACAATAAAGAAAAGCCCAAAATGCTACAGATTTTTAAGTAAAATCTTTACATTGCCATCAAAAGCAAGATTGAATGCAATGATTGCGCAATTGATAATTGAACCAGGGATTAATCCTAAGTTGTATAACTTAGTGAAAAAAGAGGTATTTATTATTTATTTTATTAGTATTGCCCCCTTATAACAAGCCGGGTGGAGCGAGTTTTGTCTGCAAGTTAGACGCTAGGCGCTTCCTTGGGCACTGATAGGTATGGTAAGAAATAGAAAACTTGGCTAAATAGTTAATTATATTACGATAAATATAGAGGAAAAGGTGGTAATAGCCAGAAGCCATAAAGAAGAACAGCGTCAGCAATGCTATCATATTCAGCAAGTTTTGGTAAATATTCACAAATACCCACCAAGTACTTACTACACTAATAAGTATATGATTTTAGACTTTATGAACTTATTACGCTCTGGGGACAATTCAAAGAAACTGTCTGGGTAAAAATTGTAAATTTAATAGTAAATTGTGGCTCGAGGAACGTACGAGGAGCATGTAGCAAATTATGAAGGCCTGGATATATCAGTGACAACTTGGAAGGACAACAAACTTGTTACGCTGGCCTCCACTTATGTAGGCGCCGAATCTACTGAAACCGTCAACGGATACGACAAAAAACAGAGAAGGCAGATTACCATACCTTGCCCAAAAATAATGAAAAACTATAACGCCCATATGGGGGGTGTTGATCTAATGGACAGTTTCTTAGGAAGGTACAGAATTCAAATCAAAAGTAGAAAGTGGTACATACGGCTTTGTTACCATATGATTGAAATGGCGGTCATCAATTCATGGGTACTTTTCAAAAAAAATAACGAAAAAATAAGAATAAAAAATTCCAGTTTGGGGGATTTCAGATCGGAGCTAGCAGTGACTTTATGCAGCTACAAAAAAGTTCGGATACAAAACGAGGTAGACCATCTACCAGTAACATGGAGAAGGAATTGGAAGCAAAGAAACGGCGGGACCCCATGAAATCTGTCCAAGCACGTGATGTAAGAAGAGATGGTGTCGACCACAATGAAAGAAGGTGTGAAAAAAGGAATAGGTGCAAACTACCTGGGTGCAACTACTTTTCACGCACCGAGTGTTCAAAATGTAATGTGGCTCTTTGCCACACAAAAGAGCGAAACTGTTTTGCTCTTTTCCACTCTTATGGTACTGTTACACATGCTCATTAAGGTACGGACAGACGTGCTCATTACTAGCACGAAAGCATGCTTTTATTGAGCAAGTGCTCATTAGTAGCACGTCTGTAATGTAATGAGCATGCTTATTTAGAGCGTGCTCAAAAATCGAACGACGACGTTTGATTTTCGAGCATGCTACCTGAGGCGCGGGTAGTTGGGGGGCGTGCTCCGAGCACGTCTGAACATGTTTGCTTATTAGCATGCTATTATCCATTTTGTCTCGATCTGCGGCGGACGACTGTTTTATGCAATTAATTGATGTAATTAATTAAAATTAAACCCGCAATATGTCGCGTTGGGGAGAAGAAAATACTTTGCTTTTTGTGTCACATTATAGAAGTTACGAATGTCTGTGGAACACACACTCTCCTTTATACAAAAATAATATTGCTCGTAATAATGCTTATGAGGCTTTATTAAAGGACATGAATGATTGAAATTTAACAATGAAAATAATTAAAACTAAAATTAAAAACCTAAGATCTGTGTATCATGCCGAAGTAAGAAAAATCAACAATTTGAAGCGGTCCGGAGCTGGTGCAGCAGACGTTTATAAACCACCAATGTCATGGTTTACGGAAATGAATTCATTTATGACAGACACGGACGATTATCGTGAAACTGTTGAATCCGACTTGGTGGTAAGTACCTAATACCTAAAGGCCTATTCAAACCGCAGAGTTATCCGCTACCGCGGCGGGTAGCGGTAATACCCAAGCGATATCCCGCGCGGTATTTTATATGGCATTTCCGCAGCTGTCGCGAAAGCGGAACCGCATACCAGACCGGTACGCGGTACGTTACCGTGCTTACCGCGGTACGGCCGCCATTTTGATTCAACTTGTTTGGCTTTGGCGCGGACGCACCCCGCGTCCCTTGCCACTCATCCTATTGTTTCCGATCGAGAAGGCCGCTACGCTGCGTGCACGCGTGTTTCTGTACTTACTATATTATATAACTTGTGTTACTTATTACCTATTACTATGCCGAGGGATCAAATTAAAAGTACATTAACAGTTAAACTTATAGATATGGTAAAGTGTCATCCAGTTCTGTATGACATGACACACCCCGAATTCAAAAACACATTTTTAAAATATAAGTTATGGGAAGAAATCGGAGGAAAATTAAACATGGATGGTAAGTTTACAATTTAATTAAGTACATTTATTTATTTGAATATATTAACATAACATGTACCTAATACAATTCACTTAATCTGTATTAAAGTAGTTCACAAATTGTTCGCGTACATTGTGACCCGTCTCTGCGTTTGCATTATGCGCGACATTTCTATTAAAATGATTATCTTGTGATTCAGTATGATATAACTGTGTCAAATATTGCCTAGTACAAGTTTTAGAGCGCAAATAATTATGTAGTACGCAACATGCTTTTACAACCTTCACAGATTTAGACACATGCAATGGAATCGGTCTTAAAAATATCCTCCATTTTTGAGCCATTATACCAAACGCGTTTTCCACAACGCGCCGAGCACGACATAAACGTTTATTATATCTTTCTTTGCGCATATCCCTCAGAGCTTCTCTCTGATTAAATGGTTTCATCAGGTATGTTTTTAAAGCAAACGCTTCATCTCCTACTAAAACATGTGAAGTATGGACATTGTACCCTGGCAAAGGTTTATTATGTGGTATGTTCATTGTTCCATTACAGAACTGTCTTCCCATAACGGAGTTTTCAAAGATACCACCGTCACTATTCTTGCCGTACCCGCCAACATCTATACATAAAAAATTATACTGTGGTCCCACTATTGCCATAAGTACTATGGAAAATTTTTTTAAGTAGCAAAAATAATTACTACCTGAATTACGAGGACAAACAACAGTAACGTGCTTCCCATCAATGCTCCCAATACAATTTGGGAATTGCCATAAGTTGTAAAACTCTTCCGATGTCAATGTCCACATTTCTTCAGTGGGATTCTTCATATATACTGGTTGTAATCTGTTCCAAATGGCCTCACACACTTCACCTACGATGTCTCCTACTGTAGAATATCCGACTCTGTAGTCGTTTCCAATTGATTTAAATGAATCCCCCGTCGCTAGGAAACTGTAAAAAATAACACAATTTTAACATTCAACTCGAAAAATAAAGAGCTTCTTACACGGCCGCTAGATTTGAATTTATCATAGTGTAGGTATAAATATTATATACACTATGATAAATTCAAATCAAAGATGGCCACCACCACAAATTAGCGAATTACACGTTTTTTTCAGTGTCAGGGGTTTTAAAATTTTTATTGTAATTTAAAGTTTTATTTTGTTTCATTGTTGCAGGTGACAGTGCAAGAACCAAATGGAAAAACTTAAGAGATTCGTACAGTAAATATTTAAAAAGTTTAAAAACTACTACAGGACAAAGTGCGGCTAAGACATATGATCGGTACAATAAATGGCAATGGGCATCAAATACGGACTTCTTAAGAGACCATATAGGCTTTGCTACCACCGACACTAATGTCATACCTAACGTCACATCGGACATTGAAAGTGATAGTCAACATTCTGAGCGAAATATCGATGAAACCAGAAATTCCACTTCAAATCATTCATTCTCAACACCGTCTCCTCAACCCGCAACCATTAATAGAAAACGGAATAACCGCTGTGACAATGAACGCGGAGTTGATAAAGTTATTAAGTATTTGAATTCAAGACAATCAGATACAAATATGTCGTCAACAGAACATTTAATGATTGGGTATGCAAAAACAATTGATAGTTTTTCCGAAAGGCGAAGAATATTAATTAAAATGAAAATCGCGCAAATTATTATGGAAGGCGAACTAGAAGAACAGGAAGAACGCAAAAGTTTGCGTAGTCCTCAACCTCCACGCCACGAACTTGAGGCGGGGGCACGTCCCAGCACATCAGCATGCTCAATTACCAGTGATCATACATATAATTCATCAGCACGCTCATATTATAACAGTTTTTCTCCCCACAATTTCGACGTGGAACAAGATCCTTTAATAAATAGCTATGGGCAAGTAGAACAAGAATATAACATAGACGCACAACCACAATCAGAAAGTATACCAGGGACATCCAATATAAGCCAAGAAAAGAAAATCCATTCTCAACAGGCAGAGAGCATCTGCGAGGATCAAGATGTTGATTATGAAAGCGAGATTGACACCCTTATACGAATATAATTATAACGCTCCAGTGTCAGTTCTTGTTTTTGTTGATTATTAAACAATAAATACCTGTACTTAAGTATGCAAAAAATTATTTATTTTGTTTTACCTTAAAGTAATAGCTAATCGTTCCTCAGGACCAATTGGGCGTCGAAATTCAGTATAGGATTTTGTTATGTCGAACTTGATCATATTTAATATTTCATCAAATGATTCTGTATACATTCTATATGTATCATAAAATCGTTTTTCATCCCGTCGCAGCTTTGGATAAAGTGTGTGAAATTGCCCTTCGACTTCTCGTTCTCTATTTATGTCATGGATCCAAATTCGTGACCTGAGGAAAAGAAAGTATGTATAACTGCAAAGGCAATGTAAGTATATAAGTAACAAAATAACAGCCGATAATAAAATAAAAGCATTTTGGAATATAATAAAACATCGAACCAACAATAGCAATAAGAAATTTTTAAAACGGGATAGAATTTTTACTTACTTTCGTTCGTCCTCAAGTAATGCCAATAAAAGTAATGCTTCTTCTTCTCTGCTAACCATCTTCTTCTTTTTCAATTTATCAAACCATTTGAAAACCTATCTACGTACAGTAAACAAGATGTTGACAACGACACTACACCTTGAGGACACTACAGCGCCCGTCGTCGGTCGACCGAACCGCTACCGGGGGCGGTAGCGAATTCCGCTATGGTTTGAACATAGCGAAAATCGCATACCCATCGGGATTCCGTTACCGCTAGCGGTAGCGGATAACTCTGCGGTTTGAATAGGCCTTATTACTAATACTTATCTATTAAGTTATATGTTAATCATATATTATGATCTTGCCATGGCAATGCCTCTGTTGTTTCGAAAAGTTGTGCATAAGCGTTTCTTATTGCCACCGCTTGTCGAGAGGCGTGATTACTTCGAGTTGCTGGTAAACTTTCCATAGCTATGCGCAATTGATCTCTCCATGATCCTTGTACATATAACAAAACATTGTTGCGTGTCTTCAAAATCAACACATCGTTGGGTAATATACATATCGGACGTTTTTCGAAGCCAATTGTGTAAAGAACAAGCAGCCAATGTAATCGTGTCAATTTTATCTGGTGTCATGTCTATATTGTTCAGAAAAACCCGAAATCTTGTAACTAAAATCCCAAAGGTATTTTCAACTATTCGTCTGGCTCTAGACAAACGATAGTTGAATAATTTTTCTTTATACGTTAGTGGGCTTCATAATATAAGTTTTTAGTGGAATAGCAGCGTCTCCTACAGTGATTGATTTCTCTGGTAAAACCCTTAATAAGGCAACAGGAACATTATTCCCACATTGAATTTCACGTTTTAAATGGTCAATTGAACATAATTTCCCATGAGCTGTCACTATCATTTCGTAGTTGAATATATTATCTATGGTTTATAGGCCTGTGATCGTGTTTCCGAACGAAAAAAAAACAAAAAAGAGATGTCAATGTCATTGTCACGATAATCATTCAACGGTTTATGCATTTTCGTCTTAGAGGATGGAAAAAAATAAAAGAAAGGAGCTGCCCTAAGTACAGAATCAACGTGCATATTACCAAAATTTGAAAGTTACAAATGGCGGATTTCTTTAGTGTTGTACCATAATCTATCGATAAGTCATTATCGACATGCAAATGTATGGCTTGAATTTTTGTTTCTTTAGTTTACTGTAACCAAAGTATGCCTAAACAAACACAAGTCTGATAATTTAATCTCGAGTGGTATATTATTATAAATGTCAACACACATTTTGAAACTTCAAAAAAAATTTATTTTCAACATTACAACTGGTAACTTATTTAGTAAAAGTCACCAAACTGCTGTGCAGTTTGTTGGCGACATGCGCATTCTTGCTTAATTATACCTACTTTACTTGTATTTAACATTACGTAGTATTAATTGTACTTACTAAATAAAATATAAAAATTACTTTAAGAGGTACGCCTTTAACCTACATTTTAGTACATATTTACATAACGTAAACCAATAAACCTAAATAAATAAACCTAATACCAATAAACCTAATGATGGAATAGCATTGTCATGTAATCTAGTTACATTTAAAGTTCTGTTAAAATTTGACTCTTCAAAATGAAGCGAACAAATGAAGATGATCTTTGATCCAACGTTTATATTCGGCAGTCCTATGATTTCCAACCATTCTTTCTTCCTTTTCTCATTTGTAAGAAAACTTGAAATAATAATAATAAAACAATAAAAACCTCATAGTGAATTGTTTTAATAACAGAATATCGATAATATGTATGCTTACAAGATCAACACTATCTCAAAATAATCGTTAACAACAATCATCAAAATATACAAACAAACAGGCAATCTAAAGTAACAAAAGCAAAATTTGGCAAGATTTATAAATAAACTACTTAAATAAGTCTAATTACATAAAATATTCGGGCTATTGTGTGATTTATAGACAAAAAAATAACACATGCCTGTGCAATGTAACATTCGATTGATTTGCAGTTTTTCTAAAGCCGCATCCTTTAATGCTGCAGCGTCGCATTTTTATTAATACCTAATTATTCTCACTGTCAATATTTTTGTCCAATTTAATTATAATACATGTGAATAATTCAATAATACATTTGGAAAAACATTTGTTTTGACATTTGATGTACTTCCCTTTGACAACGGTATCATGTACCTCATGTACTTGAAATGGCCACGGTTGGCATTTAAAATGACGTTACGAATTTTCGATTCCCGTGTTTGACACAGACCAATGTAATGCTATCTCTTTTGGCTTAAGACGGCACGTAATAGTTAAACAAAGACAATAATATGTTTATGTTTTCGACGACGAAATGCATCATATACATATAACGTCTGATTTATATATGTCAACGTAACATGTCCTTTAGTTTCCATAGTCTAAGATTTTCGTGCAGTTTTGTTATTGAAATACTTATTATGTCGAAAAAAAATCTAATTATTTTTGGTTATTTTCCATAGATGTAATGTTTATTCATTTGTTTATGTGTTTTATTTTTCAAAATAACATAAAATTACTTGGTTTCATTGATTCAAAGTGTGTGGGAAATATTTGCTTGTTGCCCGTTTGGGTTTCTAATGTAATAATCTATGTGGGAAAACTGTTTCCCTAGGAAGCATGGAAGATTTCTATTTGTCTCATAAGCACTGTTTTACGTTTCAGAAACCACTTCGCGATTCGGAAATTGAAAACCAGCTGCACACAGCACAGCTTTTTTGTTCATCGGAAGAAGACCTTGATGATGAAGCAGTTGACTCTTTTACCACCAGTAGTTACAATATCGATTTAGACAAGCGTTTGGATGTAATTCAATGTATTTCTGTCGAAGAATTACATTCTTTATTGGAGGGAGAATCAGGTTTGTCTCTTATCCAAGATGAAACTCTTTTGAATTCACCAGTTCAGCAAGTTTCTCAGCCAATTTTTCCTCAAGTAGCTTCAACTTCACAAGATGCAATCGCTGAAGTCCATGCAGGCCCTTCTCATGTGAATTCGAAAGTTTCTATGCTACATGATCAAAATCGTGCTGAAACAACCTCACTTGTTGCTCTAGCTGATGTCCAAGCAGACCATTCTTCCCCAGTATCAGTATTGGCAGAGCCTGATGGAAGCTCTAATGCAGAACCAACATCTTCTTTCTCTAGTGATAAATTCATTCAATTACAAAATAAATCAAGAAATTGTTCTTTTGCAACTTATAATATTACTTGGCCTATTTTCGAGAAGAAAATGCTTGTAAAAAAACGTTACACTAACAGAAGTCAACCACTTGATTATTTACTTGACTTTTTTCCTGATGAGTTACTGAATATTATTATTGAAAATACAAATATTTATGCAAGAGACACACATTCAAAAGCTTGGACAGATGTTACAAAAGAAGAAATAAAAGAATACTTTGGAGTGATTATACTAATGAGCATAAATCCATTAGCAGATATAAATAATTATTGGTCATCTGATGAGTTTTTCAGAAATCCTGTTATTTGCAAAGTAATGCCCTTAAAAAGATTTAAAAAAATTTACACAAAATCTCCATATATCAAATATTTCAACAGAAGCTCCACGAAACTCACCACATTACGATAAATTGGGTAAAATTAGACCTGCCATTTCAATCCTAAACAAAGTTTTTCAAGACAATGTTCAAGTGTCAGAATTTAATTCAATAGATGAAAGCATGATCAGGTTCTAATGTCGTAGTCACATGAAGCAGTATATGCCTAAAAAAACCTATAAAACGTGGGTATAAGTGTTGGGCAAGAGCAGATTCTCATACAGGGTATTTATATGAATTTCAATTTTATACTGGTAAAGTTGATACTGGAACTGAAGAGAATTTAGGGGCCAGAGTCATAATGGATTTGTGTGAATCTTTGCCAAGCCATATATTAGTGGCTTTTGATAATTTTTTCACCGGTCTCCCATTGATGGAACTTTTACATGAAAGAGGTATTTACTGTGTTGCAACATTAAGATCAAACCGTAAGGGCTCACCAGATTTGATAAGAGGAAAAAATTTTACCCGCGAAGAAAAAAAAGAAACGGTTTTGAGAACGGGTGAGTTTCTGTACCAGTAAATACACCTATAGGAGTATTGAAATAGAAAGATACTAAGGATGTTTTTCTTGGAACTACTGCGTTTGATCCTCGAGCTGTTGAATTGATTGAGGAAACAGAAAGATGGTAGCAAGAAAAAAATATATTGTCCACTTTCGATTAAAAAATATACAAAATTTATGGGTGGTGTTGATCATTTCGATCACTATAGAGCATCATACCCGCTAGGACGAAAGTCGCGAAAGAATTGGCACAGACTTTTTTGGTTCTTGTTGGAGGCAGCCGTCATCAATTCTTATATTGTTTATATGACATCACATTCTGAAAGGAGAAACTCGCATAAAGAATTCCGGTTGCGATTGGGCAGAGGACTTATCAACAATTTTTCGTGAAGAAAAATCCTCGCGCCCGTGTTCAAAAACAAAAAAGGAGGTATCATTTCAGTACCGGAAGAGATTCGAAAATCGGACGTAGGATCCCACATGCTTGAATTGACCAAATTTCGAAGATGCAGACTGTGTAGTACACGTGAAAAAGAACAACGCAGCAAATATATGTGTAAAGTTTGCAAGGTATCTTTATGTGCTGCCCCTTGTTTCGAAATGTTTCACAAGTAAAATAAAATAGATATTATCTTTCAATTTAGTATTTTTATTTACTTCAATGATCTCTGTCTACTCATCCTCTGAGTTTAAGTCTGACTAACAGTTCCTTAAGTGTTACGTTTTGTATGAAATATATTTCCCAGGAATCACCAAAGGTTACAATGTAATCGACCAACAGGAATTATTTTCCCACGTGGTTTCCTGAAAAACTGAAAACACATAAAAAAATGCTGATATGAAATCTAAGATCTGTATGTACCACTAATTACATACTAGCTTTGAAACTTTTGCAAACATCCACATTTTAGCCATGCCCTATTAAGGGTTAAGAGTATTTCTTTCCAAAGCCTTTCCCAAGCTAGATTGATGGAACACTCCTCCATCCGAAGCCCTTCCATTGGTTCCAATATCCACATATGAGTAACAATAATCATGGTCAACTAATGCCAGGAGTATAACGCTGTGAGCACCTTAGTAGTTGTAGTAATCTGAAGAGTCATCAGGAGCAAAAATATTTATATGTTTTCCATCAATCGCTCCCACACATCCTGGGAAATTCCATTTTGTTCGAAATCCATG